GAAATGTTTGACGCCTCTATGCTCCTTTTACAAAAAATACCTGGAATTGAGATGGCCCAATTCTTTAAGGTATCAAAGTTATTACATGATTCTGAAAAGTGGCAGAAATTTTTTCTTTCGGCACCTGAGGATGTAAGAATTGGTTGGGCACTGAATGTTTGAGTTTTTCTTTATGGATGATTGCGTTTTGTGTCATCGTTTAACTTATTACTATCTCACATTTGGATGACTGTAATAACTTAAATACTTTTATTATCTCACATTTGGATTACTGTAATAACTTAAATACTTTTATTTGTTGGATGCCTGTTACTACTCAAATACTTTAATACCATTATTTAAATGTTTGTTTTATTATTTAAATGTTTATTTTATTATTTAAATGTTTTGTTTATTATTGAATTGATTTGCTTATTTACTTAAATGTTTTGCTTGTATTAAATCTTTAAATAGGGCAATGGATATGTGGAACAATATAAGAAGAATAATTCAATTATATGACGATGAGGATGACAATGAGAGTGTCTTAATATTTGTTGCTATTTTAGAAGAGCAGAACTTCTATCAAAAGAGACGTTGCAGGAATTCAATTTTACAAGGGGAAGCATATGTTATGGAGATTCTAAACGGCCATAGAGAAAGATGTTATGAAAATTTTAGGATGTACCCTGAAGTTTTCAGAACATTGTGTAGTACCCTGAAAGGTATAGGGCTGAAGGATTCTAAATTTTTAACTATATATGAACAAGTGGCAATCTTTTTACTCACTTTATCTCATAATCAAAGGAATCGTGTTGTAGCAGAGAGATTTCAACACTCCACTGAAACCATTTCCAGACACTTCCATGCTGTGTTGCATGCAGTATGTCAGTTGGGCACCCATATCATTGCCCCTCCTGATTTTTCTGTGATTCCGAATAAGATTAGAGGGTCTCCTAGGTTTTACCCTTACTTCAAGCATTGCGTGGGAGCTATAGATGGAACCCACATTCCTGCAACTCTGCCAGTAGCTACACAACTTCCATTTCGTGGTAGAAAGGGCTATACCACACAAAATGTAATGGCTGTATGTAACTTTGACATGAGATTCACATATGTGCTAGCTGGGTGGGAAGGCTCCGCTAATGATTCGAGAATTCTAAAAGAGTGTATTAAGAACGAGGCAATGAATTTTCCAGCTCCACCACCAGGTATTATAATCTTACAATTTCACTCAATGTATGGTTAGTTTATCATAGTGTATATATCTTTACGTATTCTAAACATTGCAGATAAGTATTATTTGGTGGACTCAGGGTATGCCAATAAGCTTGGTTATTTGGCCCCATTTCGAGGTCATACTTACCACTTTCAGGAATACCGTAGGAGTAGACCACCCCGTGGTCGGGAGGAAGTGTTCAATCATAGGCATTCATCTTTGAGAAATATAATTGAGTGATACTTTGGGTTGTTGAAGATGAGATTCGCTATTTTGAAGGCAATGCCTCCTTATAAGTTTTCAACATAAGTATTGATTGTAATGGCTTGTTGCACATTACACAACTTCATTAGAAATTAATATCAGCTTGATGATTTATTTGATGGTGACGATCCTCCTCAAAGTGATGGTGAAGACGATGAGATTGTTGAGCATGTGCTTCCGGCTCAGCTTCGAGAAATGGATTAGTTGCGTAATACTATTGTTGATCAAATCTGGAATTCTCTTGGGCACTCTTGATCTTCCTGAAATTGATGGTATGTTTTTTCTTTTATATGTAATATATTTGTTGCTATTGTGGGCTTGTAATATGTATATATGTATTATATATCATTTTTGTTGTTATTATTTTGCTTTTATTGTTACTGGCTGATATTATTGTTAATATTTTTCAAATTAAATTCTACCATTGCAGATATGAAGTGTGTTGATACTCTCTTGAAGGTGATGTGTGCTGGTATGAAGATGACGTGTCCTACTATTGAAACTTGTTCATTGGAAGTGAAATTTGTGTTTTTTTAAGTATGTCTCCTGTAAGATCTTTTGAGTTTTTCTGATACCTTCTTAACAGTAAAGGAAAATATAAGGAAATATCTTTTTATTTGTTAAGCATCTTTTTCTTTGTTTTTGAATCATATTTTTGAAATTTGTAAATGAATTGTGATTGAACTTTGAATTATATCTCCTGTTTAATTTAATCTACTGTTTAATTTGTTCTCAATTTCTTTGTCAATTTTCCTGATACAGAAGAATGAGTATGATTTGAGAAGCTTCCTTGCAAGCTTCTATTCTAGCAGGGTGTTTTTTTTATATTTTATTTTATGTTATGACTCATTCATAGATGTTTTGTGAAGTTTGACTCCAAATAGATGGATTAGAAATGAAAAAGGTGATCTTAATATCTAGATCATAAGAACACTGTAAAAAGATGGAACTCTACATGTCAAATTATATATATATATATATATATATATATATATATATATATATATATATGTTTGTGTGTTCAAATTTCAATATATTTATTAAAATATATATATACTATTTATATAGAAATAAATTTATAAATATATTCAAAATTTAAAAAATAAATTAAAAAGAATGATAACCAAACATATTTTTTGTTTCTGTTTTTTTTTTTTTTTTTTTTTTTTTTTTTTTTTTTTTTTTTTTTTTTTTACAACAGTTGAAATTACCAAACATGTTTTGTTTTCAAAATTCTTGAAACGCATGGCTTACCAAACATATTTTTCATGTTTCTGTTTCCGACATTTCCAAAACAAAATATCGTTCCCAAACATACTTCCGATTTTTGCCAAAACACTCCAATAGTAAAAACGCTGTTTCTGTTTTAGCCAAAAACAAAATGCCTAAAGTAAAACGCATGCCAAACGAGCCCTAAAAGGAGCTAAAAATAACATATTTTTAGGTTTTTTTTAAAAAAAATTCTACCAAACAGTGCCTTAAGACACTGTTTGGCGCACTGTGCATAAGCTGGATAGTAAGACAAAATAGTGGCAGCCCAAAACGGCACTGTTTTGGGCTAAGAAAAAAAAAAAAAAAAAAAAGGAAGCAGCGATCGCGGGTCAGCTCGCTGAATACCGCGAGCCAGCCCGCGATCACTAATGGGCCCTAACACTTATAGCTAGCCCGCTGCACTTCATAAAATCCATTCGTTCACCCAAATTGGGCTTTGAAGAGCCTAGCTGCAGATGCTCTTAAGGAGTGAGTCAAAATAAAACGCAAAGAGAAATAAATATATTAAAATAATTAATCAGTAACCAATGATATAATGACAAAATTATGAAAAATTGTGTCACCTGCACTCAATTGATGTCACTGACAGTACCAAACCCAAAAAATATGAATTTGATTTTTTTAATGCAGGCAGACATCCAGAAAGCAATGGGAGAGTGAAGGACTTATTTAGCTTGGTCATCCATTTAAATTGTCATCCATTTCAATTTGTTCATGTCTCTTCTACCTTATTTTATTGACCACGGCATTACAAGTTTACATTAATATATTGAACTCTGTTTGATTCATTTCGAATGCATTTGGCATGATATATATATATATATATATATATATATATATATATATAGTTCTTAAAGTTCTTGAATGGAGTGAGAGTTATTTAGTTTCATTGATCAATATGGATTAGTTTGGCTAACGCTTTCTGCTAGTGCTTTTCAAAATACTATTAGAGTGTGGAAAAAAGCAGTGATGAGTGCATTTCACTGTTATTATAATTGCGAACACGATGAAAAACAGGAATGCAAATTTTAGAACTTTGTGGTTAGCTTTTTACCCATATAAAGCCACGTCAAATAAAAAACTGATAATCAAAAGACTATTTGTTTTTTTTCTTTCTTTGGCGCATTACTTTTTTGAATTCGGTGCCTAGTTGTTGAAAGTACTTTTAACTTCTTGTATTTGATTCCTCTCTCTTTGGTTTGTCAAATTAAAAAAATAATAAGGAAACTCCAAACCCTCAATTATTCTATTATCTTTATAATTTCAGGATCTAGGAGTCGATTTCATTATACTGAGTTTCAAATTGACTATAAATTATCAAAAAAATTATGTAATATATTCTCATCCTGTATAGAAGTGAGAATATTGATAAGAAATCATATAGAGGGGTAGTTACTTCATAATCGTGCATATGGTTATATTGTAAATAACATGTTTGAATAAGTTTGAGTATGATTTATTTTTTTATTAAATAAAATTTTCAAAAAAACTTGGCATAGAAAAAGAAATGGTACAATACAACTTAAGGTAGGTACATGTGTACTGCTTTATATATATATATATATATATATACCTGACAATTGAATTGCCCTACCACAATTTCACATATATATATACCTGACAATTGAATTGCCCTACCACAATTTCACTAATGTTATTAAATGATGTGACAAGAGCCCTACGTTCAAATAAATAATAATAATAATAATGATGTCTTAATATTTAATGGCCTTCTCAAATTCAGCTCTTAAATACGTTGATGAGATTCACTTGTAAAATGAAAACTTGATTGTGAAACCTTTTATAACTTTTAAATATCTATTAAGTTAAAAGGATTAAAACACTTGAACTTGTAATGACTATCATGACATGCTGCCATGAAATTGGTAAGACTTTGCATATACGATTGAGGATAACAAATTGGACTTGAATCCTCTAAGTTAAATCTTTTTCAAATTATCATAAGTTGAATTCTCTGCTGATTGACATGTGACATTTAAAATCTATATGTTGAATATAATAGAGAGATAGAAAGAGATATACAATACATGTTCTGTATATTGAAATGTGAATAAATCATATACAAATAGAGATATATATCTAGGCTAATGATCAACAACGGGCTACACAATAATCATGGTTATACTACGACAGTAATTACGGCAACAATCACTATGAAACAATTATAATATAATATAACATTATTATGATAACATCCCCCCTCAAACTCAAGGTGGTAGAGTAGATACCAACTTGAGTTTGAAAACTAATTCCCGAAATCTGCTTCGCGGATGTGCTTTGATAAAGATGTCAACTGTCTGATCAGTGGAAGTTGCAGAATGAAGATATACAGTGCCCCGAGTAACATGGTGATGCACAATATGACAATTTCAATATGTTTGGTGTGTTTATGGAAGACATCATTATAAGCAATGTAGATAATACTCTGGTTATCACAACAGAGAACAATGCCAGTGGAATGAGAAATACCCATATCTGTTAAGAGCCATCGAAGCCAAATAAGTTCTTGTGTGGAATCAGCAAGGGCACAATATTTGGCCTCTATACTAGACCTGTAGATGATGGAATGTTTTTTGCTGCGCCAAAAAATGAGAGAGTTCCCAAGAAAGAAACAGTAGCCAGTAGTAGAACGCCGGTCAATCGGATCACTTGCCCAATCGGCATTAGAATAGGCACGTAGCTCAAGTGACGAATGAGAAGAAAAATGGAAGCCATGAAACATAGTCCCTTTAATGTATCGAAGGATACGTAGTACAACAGCATAATGAGTAAATCGTGGTGCAGATAAGAACTGACTGACAAGATGCACAACATAAGCGATGTCAGGTCAAGTGATAGTAAGGTATACCAAACTGCCAACCAACTGTCGATACAATGTAGCGTTACGGAAGAATGTACCATCTAGAGGAGTGAGCTTGACACTGGTCTCAAGTGGAGTGGGAGCTGTTTTGCAATCCGTGAGTCCAGTACGAGTAAGAATGTCAGAGGAATACTTGGCTTGGGAGAGATAATAACCATCCGAATCAGAGAGAATCTCCAAGCCTAGGAAATAACTGAGGCGCCCAAGATCCTTCATATAAAGTAATAATCAAGAAAATTTTTGAGTGCAGAGATACCTGCAAGATCATTTCCAGTGATTATCATGTCATCAACATAAAGTAAAAGAAGAGTAATATCAGAGTTAGTCTTGTGGACAAAAAAACTGGAATCAAATGAGCTTGAAATAAATCCAAAATCTCCAATTGTAATACTGAATTTTGCAGTAACTCCAAAGATTGGAATCATATCAAAGTATTCGGTTGATTGTGCAGTAACTCCAACACACTCAACTTGGCTCATTTTAGCAACTTTAGTCAATGCGACGTGAACCACAAAAAGGCATAAATGATGGGGGAAGACAGCCAATCACAAGAAATTAACAAGAATTTTTTGTTACCTTTTGTAATCATTTTTTTTTTATCCCCTTAAAATGGTTTTTATTTTTATTTTTTTTTATTATAAATAAAAACTTAGGTTTTTGTTCAGTTTTTCTGTTTTAAGTGAATATTATCCAAAAGAATTTGAAAATGATTTTCTAAAACTAAAATGAAAACATTAGAGTTGTATTTGGTTGCATATAGAATTAGTGGTTTTGAATTGGAATTGGAAAAAAAAATATTAATTAAAAGTTTAAATAAAATATTTCCAATCCCAATTTTAAGACATTAATTCTATGCAACTGAACATAGCAAGTTAATTCATATTACAATAAAAGTTTAAACTAAACTACTTACATACTTCTTCTTTTTTTTTTTCTTTTTTTTTCTTTTTCGGGTTAACTAAGTGACCAGTTTAATATGCACAACATAATACGTAACTAGTTTATTGTTTTTTAGTATTCAAAGTGTGTTAATTCAAAATGAGCTCATACTTGCATGGCATGCTTGCATGAAATTGGTAAGGCTTTACGGACATGATCATGTATAACAAATGTTTGAGGTTATTAAGAGTAAATATTTGTTATTCCAATTAGGAGAGATATTGAATTGACTCTGTAAAAAAAAAAAAAATTGACTCCGGAAGAAAAAGAAAAAAAATTTGACTGTGTAAACAGCTTAGTATTGGGCAGATGGTTTATTACAAGAAGGGAATTTCTTCTGCTTTTAAATTATTTTATTTTCATAAATAAATAAAAGAAATAAAACTTTCAAAGAAATGATGAAAGCAATTTCTCATTACTTCCGTGGTTCACACCTTTGTAATTGTTAGTGTGAATGCAATTATAGTAAGAATGGAAAATTTTTAGAACTTTGTAGTTTGTTTTTTCTTTATATAGCCGACTTTTAGGGACATAGGAAATTGCTTAAACATTGTCAGTAGTCAATGTGACCAATACAAAAGCCATAAATGGTGAGGTAAGAAAAGCACTAATAGTGCTTTTTCTTTTCTTTTTTAATTTTCATATGGTGACTTTAAACTCTCAAATTTTTTACCATCTTAATAGTTTTAAGATCTACCAGTAGACTTTATTGTGGAAAATCTTAATATGAATTTTCATCCTTTGCAACGATTAGAAGGAAATGCTAGGAAATCATAGCTATTTGATATCATGTGTGTCCATGTAATGGACAAAAATCCTCTCCTGTCAAAGAGGAGTCCTGTTTTGGCCGGCTACCACTGTAGAGGCTGTAAAAATGGGGCAAACAGTGTAATGGGTAAAAAAAGGGTATTCTGAAAATATACGAAATTATATATATATATATACATATATGCAAAATTATATATATACACACATACACGAAATCACAGTCCTGTTGGTGTTCAATTTCAGCGCCAATTTGAAATTTCCTATTTGATCCCGCCTCTTCTTTCTCTTCTTTTCCAAAATATAGAAAGAAATTATATTTTCTTCCAAACAAACACAGAGGTCTCCATCCCTTTCCTTACTTTTCTTCTTTCCAAAAGTTTGATAGAATGCCGGAGAAGACGAATTTGACCAGAAAGGATTTTTGTCCGTTAACTAATATTGTATTAGTTTTTTATTCAGCATTTTTATTTAACATTAAATAACATATCAATTTTGTCATTATTAAAAAAAAATGTAAGAAATGTATAAGTTAAAACGACGCAGTATGTTATAAGGGTAAATTGGTCTTTCAAAATTTTCGGTGCCGGAAGCTTATATCATGGGGGTAAATTGCAACAAAATCATAGTTCAGGGGGGTAAATTGCAACAAAATCATAGTTCAGGGGGTTTTTTGTAGTTTAGGGGGATTTCTTGCAAATGACCAATAGTTCAAGGGGCTAAATTGCAACAAAATCATAGTTCAGAGGATATTTTGTAGTTCAGGGGAGTTTCTTGCAAATGATCAATAGTTCAAAGAGGTTTAATACACTTTACCCAAATAATAATAATAATTACCTTTTTCTTTTTTTAATTCATTACGGAGACTTCAAATCCTCAATTATTCTATCATCTTTATAATTTCAGGATCTAAGAGTAGGTTTCATTATATTAAGTTTGAAAGTGAGTAAAAATTATCAAACAAATTATGCAATATATTTTCATTCTTTATATAGAGGGGTGGTTATTTCATAATCGTGCGTATGGTTTATATTGTAAATAACATGTTTGAGTAAGTTTGTGTATGATTTATTTTTTTATTAAATAAAACTATCAAAAAATTTGGCCTAAAAAAAGAAAATGGTACAATACAACTTAAGGTATGTACATGTGTGCTGCTTTATATATATATATATATATATATATATATATATATATATATATATATATATATTCCTGACAATTGAATTGCGTTATATTGCCTACAACAATTTCACTAATGTTATTAAATGATGTGACAAGAGCCCTACATTCAAATAAATAATAATAATAATAATAATAATAATGTCTTAATATTTAATGGCCCTCTCAAATTTTGCTTTTAATACACTAATAAGATTCAGCAGGTAGCTTAGATGGTCAGGCCTTGGGTTTGCTCTCCAATAGTCACCAGTTCGAGTCTCCGTAGGGCCACTGGAAACTTACTTGGTCGTTAACTTCAGGGCCTCCTGAAATGACTATCACGACATATTGCCATAAAATTGGTAAGACTTTACATATAACATTGAGGATAACAAATTAGTAGTGGTATTGAATTAGTTGACTTTAATTACGTGTGAATGCAATGAAAGAAGGAATGAAAACTTCAAAACTTTGTGATTTGCTTTTTTCTTTATAGAGCCATCCAATTTGGCATTGAAAAATATATGTTTCATGCAACATTTAAGATATAACAAACCCAATATAGTCTCATTAATTTCAAAGTAGCAATTACAGTATTTCTCATTACTTTTGTGGTTCACACTTTTGTAATTATTCGTATTAGAATTAAAACTTAGAACTTGTTTTCTTAATTTCCATAGGAATACGTTGTTGATAACTGAAATATTTTAGAAATGTTTGGATATATTACTAAACTATATCAACCATGTACATAAATTTTTAAATCCATAAGTTTGCCAAGCAATATTGGAGAAATGGAGTGTTTGGAAGTTTACTTGGGAGGAACTATTATAACAAATTTACCTCCATCGTTCATTTCTTTGACTCACCTTATACTATTAGATTGGAGTAACTGCAATTTAGATGAAGAATCCATTCTTAATCTTCCTCAGTCATTGGAGTATTTGAATCTAAGCGGGAACAACTTTGTTAGTTTACCAGCAAGCTTCACTCAACTCACAAGGCTTTACTTGCTTGAGTTGGATGATTGGTTAAGCCTCCAAACATTGGAGTCACTTCCATCATCTATACAGTCTGTTTCTGCAAATGGTTGCGTATCCTTAGAACGTTATTCGATTCCAAATGGGGCTCGCATTTCTGAATTGAATTTCGTTGATTGCCACAAATTGGTTGAGAATCATGGGAACAACAAGCCAAATGTATACCATTCAGAATGTCAACTTCAAGTACGTACATATATATATATATATATATATATTTGTTTCACTTTCTCTCTGTAGACTTACATTCAAAATTAATCCCCTAATCGTTGAAATAATAACAATGGGTGACAAGGAATTTTAGTATTTGTCTATATTTTTATTTTAACATCTACTCAAACAAAACAACTTGTACCATCTAAATAAGTGTCCACTCCAAAGATTTTTCATGCCTAAACAACATCACAATTGTTCCGAAAATGCTCCTCTACATATTTTAAATTGAAAACGCCAACATTTATGCATCACTGTAACGATCCAAAAAATCATATTTATCTGTGCTTAATAAATTTAACATATTATGTCGGATCATTCACTTGAATCATTAATAGTGCTTAATAAATTTAACATATTATTTATCTGTGCTTAATAAATTTAACATATTGTGCTTAATAAATTTAACATATTAACGCCCTCACACACACGTTTCCCTAGCTCTCTCTCTCTCTCCAAAGGCACAATCATTCAGTTGAATCATTAATATAAATTCAAACCAAAAAAGAAAAAAAGAAAAGTAAGAAAAAAGTTTGGTCAGCAATGATGACTGTAATCATGACATCAAGTCAATTGGAGCATATTAGATTGGAAAAGCCCTTGATCTCTCATTTCAAGACAATTCCAAAAATCAAATACAGCTATATAGATTCATAATAAATCTAAAATCTCAGTATCTATATCATAAAAACTAAACCCCCCACCAAATATATATATATATATATATAATAATGATAAAAAAAAAAAAAAAAAAGAAAAAGAAAAAGAGAATGGGTCTATGGGTCCAAATGAATTGGTAAAACTGTACTTCTTGGTCACATTTCAAGACAATTCCAAAAAATCTAATACAGTTTACAAAGAACGCAATTTATATTAAATCCTGTTTACAAACAACGCAAACTAACCTATAAAGGTTCATAATTAATCTAAAATCTCTATATCTATAAGAATTTTGAATTGAGAAATAATTTAATGCATAATGACAAAAAGAAGAGCATGGGTCAATGGCTCCAAATGGATTGGTAAAACTGCACTTCCTGGTTTCATTTCAAGACAAATCCAAAAATCAAATACATCTATGTCTCCCAACACCAATTAAATACTGTTTACAAAGAACACATACTGACCTATATACTGCAAAGAACACGTACGAATACCCAATACAGCATACAAATATATACTTTTCAGAAACTGAACTTCACGTACCTAATGTTTGCGCCGTTTTCCGAATCCATCAGGAAATATCATCTTACGGTGATTCAATTGAGCTCAAAATCAATGGTGAATATGAAAATGAGTAGCCTATATATCATCGGATCGGCATCACTTCAGATCGCATAATGTTGTTTTATAATAAAAAA